CCCCAAAACCCCAAAACCCCAAAACCCCAAAACCCCAAAACCCCAAAACCCCATCAAGAGGGCTGTTAGTTGACAATAATTCAATTTTTAAATAGAGGAAATGGAGGCTTGAGAGCGTTAGTGATTGAGCGTTTTAGAGGTAGAAGAATTTCATGTTTGCAAGGACTGAGCTGGTGAGAATACAGGCTCCTGCAAAGAATCTTGATCTACCCTTCTCCCACCAGCTTTCTGTTAAGAGTGGATATCCAAGTCAGTACATAACATAGGGGATGTCAAAGAGTCTGTGAGTAAGAGAGTATCATCTGATATAATAATTTTTCTTTAATAAATGCATTTTCTTCTTAATCATTGCAGTGAGCTCGTTATTGATCTGGTACCCACTAATCGGTTCATACGAAGCATTTATATTGGTAGATAATTTCACCTTGTTAGACATTAACTCAGTGTATACGCTATTTATTCTTTTCAAAGAATTGCTTGAGGTACTTTAGTTCAACAATTTGATAAATTATTGTGGCAAATCATTTTATCAACCAGAAAAAGAACTGAGCTTTCTTCAATTTTTCAATAGTCTCTGGCATAATCATCTTGATCACTCTGATTGCTTTCAAGTAGATAGGGATATCTAATAGTAGTATGAACAGATAGCAGATATCTTTGATTATTTTTGTTAAAACCATTCGAGTTTCTTGCCCAGCAAGACCGAAAATTGTAGACTTTTCTAAAAATTACATCAAAAATACTTACCAAGAATCTTAAGATATTCCTCTGTAGAGGAAGGTTGGGTATCCTTGACTTCTTGGTACAACTGTCTAATGTTGACGTCATCTTCGTCAATATTTGGATCTTTCACATTTGAGTCTTCATCAGCTTGTCGTTGCTCATCCATAAAAGCCTTTATTCTATTGATGATCTTCTGTGCAATATAAAAGGGGAATCCCATTAAAAGGACCTATACAAAAATATATAACAAGAAGGTACTTTCCTGGTGAGCCATCATGTATAATACATCCTTGCGATCAAACTTTTTGCTGTATCTTTAGTATTTTTACCTCTCAGGAACATGAATAAGTACTGTGCAAGTCTAAGGGTTTTGTCCCTACCATTGACAGTACTCATCACGATCATTTTCTTATAGAGACTTTTAGAATCAGATACAATCAAATGTGGGTCAGCCATTTTAATTTTTATTATCAGATTTTGAAATATAATTCTCCTAGTTGGGGTTTTGGGGTTTTGGGGTTTTGGGGTTTTGGGGTTTTGGGG